CAGAGAAACGGAGATATATATAATTATCAGTAAAAAGGAACGATAATAATGAATAGATGAAAATCTTTATCTATACTTAACTTTTGAAGTACTTTGGTGGAAGCAACGTATAATTATTTAAAAAGGATAAAAAAAATCATTTTGGCGATATTTCCTATTGTATTCGAACAGATACCGCTATCGACGGCTAATTTATAATTCGATGTAGAGTCCGCTAATATCTGGTATTTTTTAATATTATAAAAAGAAAACTTGTCTTTCACCAATGAAGGATACATTTTGTAACACGTGGCAGAACGACGAGTTATATAGTTAGAGTTCTCCAAATAGATTTTCGACATTTTTCTTTTTTTCTTTTCTTCTTCTTTTTTTTTTTATATAATATTTCTAATTCCACAAGCAAAGATTCAATCGAATTAACCCTTCTAATTGCATCTCTCGTTCTCTATCCTTTTTTAGTCCATCACCTATCTTTCTATCGTTCATTGAGCGAGCTATTAAATCCAAAATGTTAGAGAGCATTATTAAATCCTCTTAAGTCCCGTTTAAACCGGATATATCCGATCTGACAATTTTTACCTTTACTTGTGAAAATCGGATTTACTCTCGTTCACCTCTCCGCCATCTCTCTCACTCTTCTTCACCTTTCCTTCTATTCTGTTTTAACCATTAGTCCTGTCTGTCGTTCTGTGTAATCCACTAAACGAACATAATTGTAAAGGAATTTCAATTATCTTTCGTCTTCGTGAATTTCTTCAAGTCAATAATCAAAATTTTTCATTCGTTGTCCGTCATAGTAATATAAATACTTTTCTGAGATATCCTATGAAGTTTTATATGCATATACGTATATTAATAATCGTCAATATATGCTGATTAATTATTTTACAATTTAACGCAAAATTATATTCAATGTTAAGTGACAAAATTATATAAAAGATCGATTTCATGCTTCGTAAATTTCATCATTAATTTTCTTTACATCAAATCCTTTTATTTGAAATCGTTGAACTTGCTTTCTGTTCAGATCATAATTTTTTTAATTTACTTTAAACACTCAGGCATATTTACGTCTAATCAAATAAGAAAAAGAAAATAGTTGGTCGATTAAACGTGATCTTTGAGAAATAGAACGTAATCATTGTTCTTATATAGAAGATAGAAATAATTGTACACATATTGTATAACACAAAAAGTAAGGCTATATATACTTGCGAGCAGTCTAAATCCGTGGAAACCTTTACTAATGAAGCCGCCTGGAGTCCCTTTGATGCGCTCATCGTCATCACAGCGAGCTTTATAAACTCTCTCGGTAGAAAATATCGAGCGGTCCTCTCTTCTGGAATTAACCCGTGGACGATGCCGCGGGGACATAGATTTTTCATTAGATTTCCCTGTCAGTTCTTCCACGTTGCTACGATGAGATAGAGAGAGAGAAGGGGAGAGGGAAAGAAGGAGAGAAAGAGAAAGAGAGAGAGAGAGAGAGAGAGAGAGAGAGAGACAGACAGATAGGAGTTACTGTGGAAACTATTCGTTAGAGGCATTGCATATATATATATATATATATATATACATATATATACATATATATATATATATATATACATATATATACATATATATACATATATATACATATATATACTTTCATAATTAACGGACATCGAAAGAACACGCCAACAAATCTCTGCACATGTATGTGACCCAATAAAGATGCCAGTTCTTTTTTCTCAACACCGAGAAAGATAAAACAACAAAAAAAAAGAACAAATTTTCATTCCGCCAGACGATACATTTCAATTCGAAGTCCAGTTAACATTCGAGAACAGCACCAGGTGTTTCGAAGCATCCCTTCTAAATGTATATCTATGTGATGATATGGTGAAATAGGGTTGGTATGGGGTGTATCAGGAGGTGGATCCATCCTTTAACGATGGAAGAATTATGGCGGCGGTAAGCACCGATACGGTGGCACACTTACGAGCGAGTGCACGGTAACGTCAATGAAACCACGCTGTTTAGTAGCTGCACTCTCTTATGGCGACGCCTCGTAAGAGCATTCTGTAAAAGACGATCATATATAACTTTATTTTTCGTTGGAGATAGTTGATCGTTTGTAAAATCTAAACTGAAAAAAAGAAGTTCTCTATAATTCGTAGAACAAACAAATTAAATTCTCGTATATTGAAAATATCAATCAATTGTTTAATCGATTGTGTAACATGATTAAACGTTGTATTATCATTTTTTATCGAATAAAGCCTTGAAAAAGGACATTCGAAGTCAATCCTGCAGATGTTTCTTAACATTTTATCGTTTTTATCAAAAATGTGTTTTAGTCAAAAACATTATTCAGGCTTTGATTTAATTCATGTTACCAATCGCATAATAATAATAGATATTAGGGAAAATATATTTTACAACGATTACGAGTATATTTCGAGTAAAACTTTGAAGGACGTTGATGATCAAAAAAGATCTCACATATTCGCATGTATATGCGAATATTGAACACATGCTTTTTATAGGACAATAACTTTTTCAAGATTCGATCAAACGACTTGATTTTTTTTTAAAAAAGTTACAAGAATTAGTTCACTAAATGACTGCGTAAAAGAAATTTTGAAAAAATTGCAATTGGTTGTGGAATCACGAAAGAAGAAGTAAATGTCGCTTTTTATAACTTTTTTATCTTGGCCTGTAATGAAAATTTAAATAACACATTTTTGAAAACTTCTATCATTTATACATGGAAATAAGCGACAAGAGTAGAAAAATGTCAAAATCTGCAGATTTTACGTATAAAAAAGTGAAAACTGCGATTTTCATCATTTCTAGATCACCAGAACGTTAATCGATTTCGGTGGAATTTTAAGCATGTATTATACAACAGAAATAAAATTTCTCGTTTGAAATTTTCCTTACAGATTCAGAGAAAAAGTTGTAAAAAGATGACCTTTTTACTTTTTCTTCGTAATTCCACGATCAATCACAATATTTGTAAAATTTTTTTTCCTTTTTTTTCTTTTTACACGTCATCTAATAAACTAATTCTTTTAATTTCTAAAAAAAAAAAAAAAAAAAAAAAGAAGAATCAAATTGTTCGATCGAATCTTAAAAAAAGTTATTCTATTGTAAAGAGAGTCTATTCAATTTCGCATGATTACTGTGTATATATAGGTATGTGTGTGTACGAGTATACTGGGCCAATTGAAAGGTCGAAGGGAGAAGGACGTTCTCACGATACTATACTGAAAGGCATTCTCGATTTATGACTCAGGCTCTCTCAAGGGAGAACGAGAGATGCATTTTACTCTCGCGTCTTTAAGAATGCAACGAGAATTATGAAAGTTCGCGATAATACTCAAGCCTTCGTAGTTCGTGCCTTCACGAAGAAGATCGAGAGAGAGAGAGGGGGGGGTTAGGGCTCTTGGGTCGATCTATATAAACCGATCGAAATTTGTCATTGTCGTCCTGGTTTCTATCGATCGTTTCTAAGAACACCGAGAAACGTCGTTGCAAAATGCAAATACTTTATCTCGATTTATCATTCACGATTCCTCGAGAATTCTATGAATGATGTTGTTTTTTTTTCGAAAAGAGAGACAGAGAGAGAGAGAGAGAGAGAGAGAGAGAGAGATGTTTGAATCGACAACGTAATTATTTACTGTTTTATCTTCGTTTTAAATATCCTTTGCATGTATCGTACGATCGATCAGACAAAAATCAACTAATTGTTTTAAATGAAAGTAACGATTAAGAGGAACAATCAAAATATCTATATATTATTTCCATTATATTTGTAATTATTTTTAAAAGTACGCGGTTGATTATATCGTTTTAAAGGAATCGCCGTGGTTTAAAAAAATTATGGAAACGTTTATCGCTCGTTATTATTATGCCAAAAACGTCGTTACTTTTTATGATCAGTTAATATTGATAATTAACGAAATAAATAATTACGTTTTCGTATTAATAAAGTCGATATTATTTATCTCTACGTTAAAGATCAAAAGATTTCTTCTTATCAATTATTCGTTTTTTACAATTTATTTCTTTTTCTTTTTTTTTTCTTTCTTTATTTTTTTTTTCTTCCTTTTTTCATAATCTTCATCTTTATTTTTCTTACGAATTATACCATAGATTAGAATTCATTGAATCTGGATGTTCACCTCGAATCCCATGTATTGTTATATCGTAACAAAGAGTTTCGTTTCCTGTTCCCTCCTCCGATATCTCCTTCTTTAGATGTTCACCCTCATCGAAATCGTTCCAATCTCCCTTTCGCGATAAATCAACTGACTCTCATCCACGTGGATATACACGCACACATAGAAACATTTTCCCAAGACGCATGCCTATAAGTCATAGAAAATCTCTAAGATTTATAACCCTTATTCTTTCGAACATTTTAAAGTCGTAGACCGATCAAACCCATGGAAATTCTATGGTAAATTCAACCCACGTATATTCTTTCTAAGGTCTTAATAAGACTCATCGACAGTGGCAATTTTGGAGGTGTTCTATCTTAAATGAATTAACTTGACGATGATTAAGAGTAATTACATGTATATAATATAATAATAAAAATTTATCTTCCTAACTTATTCTCAACCAACTGTAATCTGAGTTCTTCTGCTTTTGATATCTCATGTATACATATACATATACATATACACTCAAATTAATTTTTTGTTGGAACTATTCTTTACTTATTTTTTTTTTTTTTTATTAATCAAATGGTATATCGTGTTAAAGATTGATGAAAAGGATTAAATATAATATATTATAGTAATATATTACATTTGATATTAATAATAATAATATTATATATATGGATAATTAATACATATATTAAATACATTATATTTTACGATAGTCAATATCAAAAGTATAGATCTAGAGTAAACTTTTTGTCATTTTTGATGTATTTCCTTAAGAAAGTATAAGTCTCGTAGCTTGTTTGCATCCGGAAAAAGGTCTGGTTCCGATTTCGTAGTATGAGAATACTGGTAGTGGTGAAGCCGAGAAGACTTGATGGTGATGGTGATGTTAGTGGTAGTGGTGAATGTTGGATACTCTCGGTTGACAAACGGCTTGCCAGATCCAGGCGACGAGCCTCTGGCTCCCCTATCGTGCCGGCGTTGCCTTTTGCCACGTTTACACGGGCGCAATACCTCGACGATATAGAGTTTAATAGCAACTAGAGCCAGTACCACCTGGCCCTGCCACTCTGTTTCTGCCAACTTTCTGTCGGATAGTGAGTAAGAGAGAGAAAGGATGTGTATGTGTATATGTATGTATATGGATGTGTATGTGTGTGTGTGTGTGTGTGTGTGTGTGAACACTGGTCGAGAGTCTGGACGACATATATACGTTCGTCCTTTCACCTTCCCTTTTTATTTTTCTTTTTCTTTCTCTTTCTCTTTCTCTCTCTTTCTCTCTCTCTCTCTCTCTCTCTCTCTCTCTCTCTCTCTCTCTCTTTCCAACCTTAGAAAATCCCTGCGGAATTGTAGACTGTGGTAAAATGGAATACGCGTCGCTTCAAAGTTGGAAGTCTGTGAGAAGCCTCGTTCTAAAGGCTAGGCCGTTTCTTAACGTCAAACGGAGAACCCCAAGATGTCTTTTCTTATATGCCGACCATTTGGTTATCCTTAAAGGATTCCGTTCAAGGTAGTTCTCGTTTAAAACGGAAGAAAGGAAAACTATACCGGATACGTGTATGAGTTATATGTATATCAATTTCAAATGTAACACACGGATTTTCCTTTTTCTTCTTTCTATCACCTTCGAAGCCCTTCTTTTTCTCTTGACTACCTCCCTACCGTACTATCCATCGCTTTTGCATAAACTTGGAAAATTTGTAGAATTTCGTTCGTTCGACGTTCTCGAAAGCGCCTTATCGTATTCCCTGTGGTATTTCACCGATCCGAAAGTGGATTTACGTAGAACTTGTTTCAGTTACAACGATAACATAAGACCGCAAGGAAACGGAATAACCATGTCAAGTGTATTGCGATACGAATAAAACGTCATTTTTTTCAACTGTCGAGCTGTACTATCGAAACAATGCGTTTTGTTTTCTTTTTTTTTTTTTCGTTTTGCTACCCTTAGATCATTCCTTGAACATTTATCCTTGATTAATAAATAGCAATTTAAATAAATAAATATATTGGATATATTAAGCGATGATAAACTAATACGAATTATAATGATAATTCGTCGAAAGATTTTCTTTGTTAGTTGGTATGACGAATTTTTTTTTCTTTTTTTTTTTTTTCCTTGAGAACTCGATCAATAAACATTTCATAAATATTTACTTGGGCCACTATATATTTCAAATAGATCGTGGATGTTAAATTTGTGTAAAGAAGATATTAATCAAATATTCACTTTATACCGGGCATAGCATTCCGTTTTCCAAGATGCTGCAATATGAATAAGTTTTCTTTTCCGTATATATGCTATGAGAAGTGGGATGGTAGGAAAAAGAGAAAGAATGAGAAAAGTGGTAGTGGCGGAGGGGAGAGGAGTAGAGGAGCTTATCCGAACCATAGTAAAAATATTCCATATTTCAGTCTCTCAGCAAGCATCGAAGCAGAGCTGGAAGAAAACCGATAGAGAAATGGAACGCGTGTGTCGGATAAACGTGAGATTCTTTTGAGAACGCAATGCTTGTAATACGGAAACTATAAATATGGCTACCGCCATGTGTTAAATGTTCTCTATTTCTATCTCTATCTCTCTTTCATTTCGAAAACCGTATCCCAGTTATAATGGCGAAAAGTTTTGCTCGATGAATTGTGACACCCACAATTTGACACTTTTTTCTTTCTTTATTTTTTTATCTCACTCTTTCTTCTCCCTTCTCTTGCCTCCTTTGTCTTTCACATTTCCTGTCGAGATTTTCTAAGTAAAACGATAATGTTGAACGTAGTTGCTATGTTGTATACAAGTATGTTCCCATGTACGTTCTTATGACACTTAACCATGCCACTCTATTTAAACATTTTTTAGTTGTAATGGTGTTACCTTTCTCTTTTTTTTTTTCTTTTTTTTCTTTCCTTCTCCTTTTTCCTCCTTTTCCTTTTCTCGAGCTACGTCACATATTACTACGTATGTATATAAGCGATAACGTTTATTACGCACATCTATTATACTTTTTCACGAGGAAATAAAAAAGTAATGTTTGACATTATATTATAGGTATATTTCTTATCTTCGCTTCTCACGTTATATATTTATTACGTTAATAATTAATATCGCGTTTATCTATCACAGTCTTCGAAAATTTTCTTTTTTTTTGTCAATGCAGATACCTAAATTAACAAAAAAATACAAAGAGAATTTTTCGGAAATAATCTTCGATGAATTTCATTTAACTGTTCTCTTTCATTTCAGTTTTATCGAATTTATGGAAAACTTGCGACAGATCTTTTTTTCTCTCATGCTATTAATGCTTTCGGTGGTAGCTAATAGCTCTCAGAATTGCAGATTTCTCGTTGTTCTTATATTCATTATACTATCATATATATCTATCCTCTTTCAACGTTGTTTATCATAGTAGGCAAACAAGTATGGTTGACTCTCAAAGAAGAAGGCTCATATTGAATTTCTTTCTTTTTTTTAATTTTTCTCTCTTCATCCACGATCTTTCATAATATCGTTATTTTCCTTTCTCTATCCTTTACTTCTTCACGTTATCATTTTCTTTATCATTTTATCGTTCTCGTTCTAATAAATTACACTGCACGATAAATGAATTTTTTTCTCTTTTTTTTTTTTCTTTTTATTAAACATATTTTTTCTTTAAACGAATCTTTCTTCAAGGATGAATAGATTATATAAGCTGTCTGGACTAATCATACTTATTACCGTTTAACTTCAGTACAGAATGAATTATAAGATAACATCATTCCCGAAGAGAACAACAATTTTCGCCCAGGCTGCTGGCTTCAAGGTCGCGTGGGAGTTACCCACAAGCAACTTCTTGGACAATCGTGTCGGCAGATCCCTTTCTGACGTCCACGAGTCCGCGAAGCTCGTTTACGAGAGGTAATAAATACTTAAATAGCGAGTTAATAATGGACAGGACGACTCACCGATTCTAGGATCACGTGGCCTCGAATCGAGAACATCGGAAGAGGAAATTTCAGGTCGAAAATGTAAGATAAAGGGAGACAAAGAGATAAAGAGAGAGAGAGAGAGAGAGAGAGAGAAGGTCAAGAGAAGGATGAAAACCAAAGAGGCCGGATTTCTGGTCGCTCTCTCCCAAGATTTCCGTAGTAGGAGGCTTAAAGATTGCCCAGTACAATCTCGTCCTCGAGAAACCTACCCTCCTAGTCTTCTACTTGATCCTTCGAATGTCGAAGTACGATAAAATTCTTCTCCTTGACTCCCTTCTATCTTCCCTTCTAGCCCTTCCTTTTTCCCTTTTTCCCTTTCAACCGATTAAATTATCTTAAATAGAATGTAAAATTGCAATGTTACTCGTAGTATCGTTATCTTGATCAATACATCGTATTTAGCCTATTTACTTTTCGAGAGACAACATTTCTTTATTACGAATAATAATGATGGATCATTTTGCAATATGAAACTCTACGTTTTAATATGACTTGCAATGGATTTGTTAGTTTTTGAAAAAAAAAAAGATAAATAAAGATTGAATAAGTAAAAGCTTATGTATGTCGAAATACATCGAGGTACAATTTCCAATATTATTACTTAATCGTCAATAATCCAATATTTGTATCAATATTTCCAATACTCCATACAAATTAATGACAAGTAGAGAAATAATATATAAAATATTGGGAGTGGATTTATTAATATTGGCGAATCTTTTGAAAACCAAATTTTATTTTCGAAAGATTATTTTTAAGAACGAGAATTAATTATAATAAAATTCAAACATTGACGTTTTTTCGTCTTTTCATTTTCTTCTTTTTGCGCAAACACGGAAATTTTTTCAGTCATGGTTTCGATGGACACTCCTGTCTTCTGAAAAACATCTGTCACATTCTCGAGTACGTAAAATGGAAGGATGGCGTTATGGCGAAGATATTGAAATTATTCGTCGGGTAAGCGCTTTGCATATTAATATCAATTACATGTCTCCGATATTAATCATGTTCCGTTTTCAGGCCATACATTAATAATGACACGTCGACCGATGCATCGCCAGATTTCTGTCGCGTTCACCTCGAAAATTGTCCATTAGAGTTTCAAGGGGTCAATGCTTTTTCAGAGAGAACTTCCGAACCTTCATCACATAATTGAAGATGAAGAGAATATTATATCTAATTTTACTCAACGTTCTTATTAAAAAGATAGATTTCGATCTACGGTTATTTTTCGTTCAATATAAAAATTTAGGTATAAATAGATGAAGTTATTATCATATACTATTATATTATATATATACATTATATAATATATAATATATATTTATATGTGTATATATTTTTTCTTTTATGATATATTTGTAAAATGTGCTGAATAAATGTATGAAATTTAATATCAATATTTAAAGAATTTTAATACACATGCGTCGTTGTTATACGATCGTTGAAATAAAAATTACAAAATTTTATTTTAACGAATGTTAAAACAATAATAATTTAACCACTTTAATTACAACAAAATAACGATTAATAATTCGTTGTAACTCGTTCGCTATATATGTTATAAGTAGCCAGTGTTCTAATAGAGAGAGAGAGAGAGAGAGAGAGAGAGAGAGAGAGAAAGATTGTAAAGTACGAAATTTCTTTCGTTGTACAGCGAATTAAAAAAATGGAGGATGCTCGTAGAAAATTCTCTTTTCAACTGGAAAAATTCGTCTTCACGACGATTAGTGTCGTGCGGTGGGCGTAAAAAATTTTGGTGTCACAGGCATTGTTCTTTTCTATGCGAGTGCCAGTATGTTCGCGTGTTTTTCGCGTCAGCTGACGACGAATATAATTGCAAGATACTACTCTGATGCTCTGGTTTAACGAAAAGCATTAATTTAGAGTGTTTCATAGTTTTCTTGAAAAGTGAAAGAGAAAGAGAGAGAAAAAGAGAAAGAGAGAGACAAAGAGAGAGAGAGAGAGAGAGACAGAGAGAGAGAGAGAGAGAGAGAAGTAAACGAACGTATAAACTTTTTTTTTCGTGCATACCCATGTTTCTTTTGCGTAGATGTAAAAAAAAATAAATTTCTTTTCGCATAGTAGATGAGTGGACAGAAAATTACGTGTTTGTACAATATTCTACAGTTAACAGCTAGTTAATATTTTTTAGTCTGTACGCAATTTTGTACTCGTCCCGTACATTATATAATACTCATAACAATATTATATTATCAGAATAATCTCATCATTATCGAACTTCTAATAAAGGGATATGATTTATTAGTCGTGTGAAATTAACGATAAATGATTATGTTTCATCTCGTTAAACTTAATATTTTTATTTTCGAAATTCATACATTAATGAGATATTTTTGAGAATTTTTATCATAGGTAGTATACACCAACCATAAACTTTACAAATTTTCTTTCTATTTCTTTCTATTTCTCTCTCTCTCTTTCTCTCTCTCTTTCTCTCTCTCTCTCTCTCTCTCTCACTCTCTGCCATCTCTCTCTTTCCCTCTCTCATTCTCTCTCTCTCTCTCTCACTCTCTGCCATCTCTCTCTTTCCCTCTCTCTTTTTTCTTTTAAACGATCCACGATAATTTCCGTACCGGTGTCACGCTCGATTGAATTTCATGAGTGTTTTCTCGTTTAAAGCTTTCACATGCATTCAGCTGGTTTAAAAATTCCTCGATCCCCATGCATCCGTTCTCGAATACACTATTTTTCTCTTCGTTTCCCGTTTTATTCTGACTCGCTTGCCTTTCCATCTCTTCCCCTTTATCCTTGTCTCTTTCCATCTCGTCACGTCGTTCTACGACAGAGTAGTGGTTATAATTGCATCTGGCGGTCCCGTTGGTGGCACGTTAACGAAAAGCATTAATTTAGAATGCTCTGTGGTTTTCTTCCCAGACAAGCAAATACTCATACAACTCCCATATGCAATTAACGGCAGGCTCGTTTTCCTGCGATGAGCTACGACGAAACGAGGAAATAAGAACCGGCGAATGAAAAGGAGGCAAAATGGTTGACAGCTTTTCTTCTCATAGCTTCTCTCCCTTTCTCTCTATTTTTATATATGATCATATGTACTTATCTCTCTCTCTCTCTCTCTCTCTCTCTCTCTCTCTGTCTCTCTCACTCTTTCTCTCACTCTTTCTCTCTCTCTCTCTCTCTCTCTCTCTGTCTTTCTCACTCTTTCTCTCACTCTTTCTCTCTCTCTCTCTCTCTCTCTCTGTCTCTCTCACTCTTTCTCTCACTCTTTCTCTCTCTCTCTCTTTCTCTCTCTCTCTCTCTCTGTCTCTTTCTTTAGATTCTCCTCTTTCCCAACTGACAAAGCTTCCAACTCGAAATGATATGAGAGAAGATGGAAATCTAGAGGAAAATCGCGATCGTTGCTTGGAATTCAATCATTCGTACTTACACATGGCACCCATCTTCGCGTTGTTATCGCCGTTGAATCGTGTCTTATAGCAGACAAATAATGATTGTATGTAGCACGTAGAAATGAATTTTATTATGTCTACCGTTTCAATTTGGATCTCCTTTTAAATGCAGACATCGAGAAGATTTCATTTTCGAGTATTTGCTTTTCACGTTTTGAATTTAATAGAAAATTTGTTCTCTACTTATGAATTATAAAAAAGCTATTTAAAATAGAAGAATGCTCGATAATAATAATACTAATCGTTTGTAAATTATCGGATCTCATTGATTTTATTTTTACGTTTCGATTCCCAAGAGTAGTTACGTTCTCAACTATTTATCTGCTATCTGGTTGCGGCACCGGGCAAATACCCCGTTCGCTAATTAAGAGTGGCCAGGAGAGCTTGAGAGAGAGAGAGAGAGAGAGAGAGAGAGAGAGAGAAAGAGAGAGAAAGAGAAAAAGAAAGAGAAAGAGAGAGAGAGAGAAAGAAGCAAACTTTAAAGAACGCTGATTATTGACTTTCCTTTCAGTTTCTTAATTGCTTTTACAACTTGTGGAAGGATCAACGCGAAGTTTTGCCGCATTTTTGTGACACCAGGAATGTTTTTCACAATTTCGATTTTACAATTGACGTTTTCAGAAACGAATTCGAAATTGCTTTTGATCGAATAAAAGTCCTTTCTCTTCTTAATCGTTTTCTTTCGAAGTAAGAAAAGAAGAAAAAATAATGTAATAAATAAAATAAAATTAAAAACCATGACAAAGGATATTTCTTTAGAAAAAAAATTCTTCTCTTAGCTTATTGTCGATTTTCGAAACGAAACGCATTTGAAGAATACATTTGACTCGTATACTTTTGTTCTTTTTTTTATGACTCACAGTAGTAGCCTGATAAATATTTTAAAGAGACAGTTACGACGAACATAAATGGATCTTATATATATATATATATATATATATATATATATATATATCTTCACTCCTTTCTTTCTTTCTCTCTCTCTCTCTCTCTCTCTTTCTCTCTCTTTCTCTCTCTCTCTCTCTCTCTCTCTATCTGTCTCTCTTGCTCTATCTCTTTTTGTCTACTTTTCTCATAGAAAATGCAAAAGGAATGTTTACATCAAGCAGACGTGTTTATTCTTCCTCTTTTACCAACGCAACTACCTTGAAGGCTTCCTAGATTCAGTTTTAGGAAAGTAAAGCAACGCTTTTCAAATTCGTTCCTGGTCGTATTTAATCTCTCGTTTTCATGAATAATAGGAAAGGCAGGTTAAAGAAAGAGAAAGAGAGAGAGAGAGAGAGAGAGAGAAAGAGAGAGAGAGAGAGAGAGAGAGAGAAAGAGAGAGAGAAAGAAAGAGAAAACATTGAAGCTGCTCCTCTTTTGTACTAGTTCTCCTTTATATCTTAATGCATTACCGCGATCTATTAATCTAAGAATCTTCATAAAGGTAGTCTCCTCATTTGCATTAAATAACCTATCTACTTAGATACGAAAACATGAAATTTATAACAAAGAGATCTTGATTAAATTACGTCATATCAATTAAGATGCCTCATCATTCTATTATAACCTTTAAACAAATGTTTCAGATTGTTAAGTGGCGTTAATTTACATCGTCATTACCATGGGTATTCATTTTCTTTCGGTGAAATATTTTAAACCGAGCAAAAATTATGATATTATATAAATAGTAAGAGGAAATGTTTACAAGTATTACTCGTCTGATGTGAGTTATGTACTGTCGTGAGACATGTTTGAACACGAGAACACGAATAAATAAGTGCGTTTAACTTTGTTTAACGTAGAAATAGCTCGTATAAGATACGGGTAACAGGCGGGGCCATTAACCCATTGAAAAAATGGAGGATGGTCGAGAAAAGGTATTACCGTTACCGTACACTCGGAAATAACCAAAGAAAACATTATTCTCCATCTCTCTCTCTCTCCGTCTCTCTCTTTTTCTCTTTCTCTCTCTCTCTCTCTCTCTCTCTCTCTCTCTCTCTCTCTCTCTCTATCTCTGTCTTTTTCACTCTGGTTGTTTAGTAAATCTTCCGAGAGAAACTAACCAACAGCTTCGTCTCGTGAATCTCGTGAGATATTTAACGAATTGACGCAGTTCGATACCACACCGAGATGACGTCTCCTTCTCGAAAATTACTCGAGCAAAAGAGGGAGGAGATCATTATCGAACGACGATCCTAACCAGTCGTGAACTTCGTCATATCTCAATTTTACTTCTAACTTTTCGTACGATCGATAAATTTTTATAAAATTCATCATTCGAATCTCATCATTTCGAACCTCGGCTCGGTTATTCTTCGATACAGTTTCTTGAATTTTACGATTAATCCAAGTTTTTGTGATAATCTCTTAGATCCGCGATAGAAATAACGAAGTAAAGTGTTACTTGAAAATTCTTTGAACGGTGAAACGATTTATTGTTCTTCTTCTTTTTTTTTTTGTTTTTTTTTTTTATAAGTTAATTAAATCGAATGATTTTTCCTTGAAATACAAATGTAAAGTCATAATAATTTATTTTATTACAATCAGTTGATTTTTGTTTTGTTTTTTTGCTTATTTCTTTCTTTTTATTTCACTCGTATTTACTTTTTCTTTTTACAAACTCTTTCATAGAATAAATTTTACGAACTCTAGTCGTTGAACGTCATGAGCGTGGCTCCTGTTGAAGTGAAAGAGAGTTGACGAAATCGGTTGCTTCCGTATCTTACGTAGAAACTGGAAGTAACGTACAAAGGATTCAGGAAAATAGGAAAATAACGTTTGGTTGTAGTCTCTTCTCGAAGAGATGCGAAGTTTCCGTCGTTCCTTTAGTCATCTCTTCGTGATCGCATGGTGTTTGGATTTCTTCATCTTATACGCCAACAGTCTCCATGAGGATGTACGAGGAAATTCCACGGAAGTCGAGATCTCTCCGAGAATGCTATCGCGACAAAAGAGATACCTGATCTTTCCCGAAGGTAGCAACTTACAGGTAAATAACGTCAGAAATATATACGTAGTGCATCCTTCTCCTAATTATTGCGGATGTTTCGCGTACCTTCGAGCTTTCACTAATGGTATACAAAGTAATCAAATGAGAACGTTCTTTTTCCTTTTCTTACTTTTCTTTTATTTTATTTTTTTTTTTTACATTTTTATTTCAGTGACGGATTTGAAAATAAACATGAACCAATGTACATAAATATATAAAAATTGGGAAAAGTTTTTCTATAAACGCTTTATAATACTTTACAAATGAGGATTTGAATATTTGTCATGAATTTGCAATAGTTACGTTATAATTATTTTCATTTATGAAGATACACGTTAAAGATAGAATGAATGTAAGAGAATGAATAAAATCAACGGGGGGAAGGGGGAGGAACCCGAATAAATTAGAAAAACTTAAAAGAGATTGAAAAAGGATAAATGAGTATGACTATTCGTTAACATAGATATATCGATATATCTTTCGAGATACGAATCTTGCGCGAAGAGTATAGCGTTTGGAGAAATGGATCGACAGAAAACCGATGGGAAACGTATATCGCGTAGTAGAATAAATACGTATGTAAGAGACTAACACATAGGCACGTATACCTAGATAGATATACATACATAGATATATTTATATATAAATCCCTTTTAGTTAGTATACTGCCTGACTATCGGAGCGTATGGCAGAAACGATGATTTGGTGATGGGTCTGACAGCAGCGTTGGCTTGGGAACTTCCGAGTAAAGTCGACTCCAAGATATCGGATTTACTTCACCGTAGAAGCCGAAGTGTCATGTTCCCGAAGGTTGAAGCTTTCTTGCAGTCGTGAGTACCTCGCGATTTCTAACTAGAAGATTGTTACTTGAGAGTAGAGTTAAAGTAATTTGTCGTTGTCCAAACTCTTGCGAGGGAAAATTAAATTCGCTTCCTTCTTCGTTGTCGTCGTACGAAGAGTAAGAAGCGTCACGGTGAAAGAAAGAGAAGAAGAAGAAGATGATGATGAAGAATAAGAATAAAAAGAAGTAGAAGATGAAGAAGCACAAAGGAGAAAGACCAAGCTATCAAATACAATTACGTTACATAGATTGTATTATTATATATTTATATATTCTATAAGACATATACGAAAGCGAGTGTGTTTATTAGAGGGAGATAATCTTCGTTGCGTTTGCGTCCATGCGTTTCAATTTGCCATCACTTTAGGAAAAGATAGTGAAAAATCGTAAGAAATAAAAGCCGCTTGTCGTCTTTCTTTTTTATTTTCGCGGCCGCGATCGCGACTAGAGAAAAGATAGATATAGAGAGAGAGGGAGAGAGAGAAAGAGAGAGAGAGAGAGAGAGAGAGAGAAGGAAAGAAATAGGGCCGACGGAAGCTATCCTCGAGGCAACGAAAATAACGGGAGACTTATGGCGTTGTATTCCGTAGGAAATGGGCCGCCCTTATCCTACGTAAATCCGCGGAGAACTAAAGCAATCTTCCACTGTCGAAGCAACGAGCTTCCTCTCTCTTTCTCTCTTTCTTTCTCTCTCCGTCTCTCTCTTTCTCTTTCTACCTTTTTTGCATACATATTTCATCTATCTATCTATCTCAATCTCTTTCTCTTTCTCTCATATGTATGCTACATATACAAGACGCATCAAATCGATCGAGCTTTTTCTTCGTGAATGAAAAATGAGATAACGATTTTTCCACGCATTTGAAACGTGTTTGATGTTTGAATCTCAACGTTCGAGGCTCAAATAAGAGAATAATCATTTTTTTGGTAAATACATCACATGGGAATAATGAAGCAAAAGGGACCGATCTCGGGATTTTACGTCGAGAACATGTTTTAATGATTAGAAAGAAAGAGGAAATAATAGCCGTTAGTGAATTCTTAGAAAGATTTTTGATTTTAACAATGTTTACGAACCGATCAATCGAAACAACGAGTAATTTTTATTACTAACGAGAAAGTTTCGATCGATCTTCTCTTTTTCTTTCTCTTTCTCTATCTATCTATCTATCTACTTATTTCTGTTTTTTCAATTTATTTTATATTTCTCACTTTATATTTCATATATTTATTATATATTTACCGACTATATAAAATAATGCAAGAATGAATTTCTTCCGATAAATGAATTTTTAATCTTAATTAACCTGTTAACTGTGCTTGATGAATATAGATACTTGCTTGTTATGAAGAAAAGATAAGTTTTTGTTTTATGACGAGTATACTCGTCATGTGAAAATAAAAATTATCTTTTTCTATTTGTATTAAAATATTATTGATAACTAAAAATTATTAATTTGCAAATTTAAAACATTTAATAATATTTTAATACAACAACGAAATAAGAGAAACAAAATTCAATATTACATGTTACATCAATTTGACTAATAAAATTATTGATTTTTCAAAGAAAAATCATTTCTGTATAATTCGATCTTACAGAAGCTATATATAATCTATGTTTGTCACAGAATATCTTCGTTATCTCTTAATTATTGGTATAGAACATAGATAAACAGTTTTAAAATAGATCTAAACAGTTAACGGGTTAAATATTCTCAAATAAAATCGAACTTTTTGTACGGAATACAATCAACATTTCGTATTATCTATTCATTTGCATTTTACGTTTCAATAATCGACTTCCTATTGTATACATTATATAACTATTTTGAGTTTATGAAGTATCTCTAAAACATTAATAAATATTTTCTTTTGCACTCACTCACTCACTCACTCACTCACTTTCTCTCTCTCTCTCTCTCTCTCTCTCTCTCTTTCTCTCTCTTTCTCTCTCTCTCGTTATATTGTAAAAACTTTTGCGATTATACGATTAATTATTTTGCAAAGAAGTGAGTGAGAGAGGAAATAATAGTTCATTTAATTCAGAGCATGACGTGCTCATCAAAGTTTGACATAGAAGGGAAGTAGATTTTAAATTAAACTTTATCGGCAGCACTGGTATCGACGGAAGATCCTGTGTAATGAAGGCCCTGTGTGAAGCTGGTCAGAGGCATCCATCTCAAATCGGCAAAGGAACCTTTGTTCAAGAGCTCCTGCATGCCATTTTTACGTAAGTCGACTTTTTTCTGGTTTTTTCTTTCGTAAGCAGATATTTCGAATTATTTCAAAAAAGTACAATATATAAAAAATTATTAATGACAAAAGATATAAAAAGGTTAAACAGAATATAAGACCCACCCGCGATTTATGCCAGACAGCTTCTGCTTGCTTTTTCACTGGTTATCACTAAACGTGTTCAGAAAGATATTATTGCAGGTAAATTAGTAGATAATAAAACATTCTATAAGTAAAAGAGAAATTTCTTATGTACAGATAAAAATTCTTATTTATTTTTGATTAGCCAAAAAAAATTTCTGAATATTTGAAAGATATCAACCTTGAAATGTGTTTGACACTGAAAGTGTTAAACGGCGTCCCATCTGCTATTTTTCCCTCAGTCTCTCTTTCTCTCTCTCTCTCTCTCTCCCACTCTCTCTCTCATATTCTACAATTCTAAGAAAACGCTGTGACAACGGCGCCGTCGCAGGAAGTTAACGTTTTTCTCGAGTTTCCTCTTTTATATTCGCTCGACGTTAACTTCGCTGTATTTCACTTTGCTGCTAGACGTTCGTTTAAAGTGTTTTATGTAAAGTTACGCCGGTCGTTCGTTCGCCTGCCCGTATTCTCCTCGATATCGGACGATTTAAATAAGCAAACGAGCTTCCTCGTTGTGTTCCCTTCTCCACCTTTTCGTTGCACACGCATAGAAATTGTAAAAGTACTGCAAAGAACGCGAAACTCTGATAGGGGGATGGAATACTTCGGTAAACGAGTAAACGAGATCCGGAGGAGTGAGATAACGAAAGAAAGAGGGGAAGGTTGAACAGGGAGCAACGAAATGGAATGAACGAGGGAGGATGTAAGAACGGCAGAAAATTATATTGGTATCGTTTTGCATTACTGGAAAATATCACAACGAATTTTCTACCAATTAGAAAGATCGGTTGGTATATATTCGTGAAGTTTCGAAAATCCAATTATTTATTGGCCTTATCTATATTGCATTGATTGAGAAATAAGTATTATCTATTCAAATTAGAATTCAAATTAAAAAGAAAATAAAAGAAAAATTCTTTAAAGATTTCACTTTAAATATATACAAGGTATTTTGCGTAACGATCGCTACGATTATTCAAAGTGCATACACTTCGGAAGTATTACGACATAAAAATTGTTTAAACTCATTTGTAAAAAATCAATTGTAAAAAACTCATCAATGCTCGATCGTTAAAAATAATATAATTTTTTTAATAAAAAATTCAGTGTCATCTTTATTATTTTAAATACCATCGTATACGTAACTCAAATTCTCCGAACTAATTCCTATTGAATTTTTGAAAATTAATAGTATTTATTTAGAGTCAATGTCTTAAATAAATAAATAACAATAAAATATCAATTCGAATCAAATGACGAAGTAGATGTTTGTTTAGATTACCAAGAGACGGCGGGAGATTCGAATGTTCGGAGGATCGACCTTATGAGAGAGCATATCAGAACGGTGGAAACTGCGAGAAACTTTATCCAACGTGCCGATACTCCATTTACAGTGTGGATCTTTGAGATCGAAGGAGGCGAGGCGAAAGCTTCGTTCGCGCGAGAAGAACGTAAGAAACGTGTGCGATGCTCGTAGGAAAAGCTCATACGAAAACCTCGCGCTCGACCGCTCCTCGAATCCGATGGAAAACTTTCTACCAACTAGAGATGTTACTGAAGTTTTTCTGGCTGCAGTCCAATCGACTCGTTGATGGGAAAAGGATAATGCTTTGCCTTCCGTCAAAATCATTCTGACTTTCATTGTCGACGAGATCTTATGTCGGACCTAAAAGAAAATATATGTACATGTTTTCCTTCTTAACTCAATTTTATTATATTTTATTTGACATTCACACATTTAGATAATTACTTATATTTAATTTAATTAAATCGAACGAACGAATGCACTTCATGTCTGTATTTATTTTTTTTAAGAATGAGATAAGGATATGCAAAGAGAGAACAAAAATAAATATTATTGAAAGTGTTTGTGGTGAATTTAGTTAAATTTTTAAATCACTTGTTTATTCTTCTTCTTTTTTTTTTTTCTTTGGTAAATACAATATCGCAAAAGTTTACCTTTGTAAATTCTCTTCATCGATTCCTCTCTTTCAAATATTTTCTAATAAAATCGGTATCCCTTCCCTTATACCTCTTCTTTTTAATATAAGCACGGTTTTTGATCGTATATGTTTTCCAAGCTCCTCGCAAAAAGGCATTGGCATCGTATTTGCCGGAAAACGTTCGCAAAGTTCGCCAGGACGTCGACGTCAAAGGCGAAATGCTCCGTGCATTTTGATTTTTTACAATTTCGACCAGGAAATGGCCTCCTACTCGAAAGCTTAGCGAGCTTTATCTTTGATGAAACTTTTGGTTAAAGTTTAACCGAAGTTTATTCGGTTCGCGTTGATCAAAGGAGGATCGATCCGATGAATCTTTTGATCATCGAAAGTGTAATTACCGTTAAAATCTTAAAACGCGAAGAATTTGATACTTCGCTTTGAAATTAATTAATTTGAATAATTTATAAATTGGTACAATATAATAGCGATATATCTATATGTATTCGGTAAGTTTAACAAATTTTTCTATCCGAATTATAATATTTTTATTATTTTTGATAATATCATTAAATATTCTATAAAAAAGTTGCACGGCATATGAATGAGTATTATGATTCGTTGAACAACTAATGATAAATATGTTATTTGAATTAAAACTATAAGTTTAAGAATTTTTACATTTCTCTCGTTCAAATCTAATCTTTTATCTCAAGATAATCTTAAAAAAAATAAAAGAAAAAATGGATTGTTGTATTACGATAACAAACATATATCATGAAACAAAATAAAAAAAAAAAATTAGAATGACCTTGAAATAACTTTTACATTTCGTAGAAAATTTCGTAGAACATTACGTAGAAAATTAAACGGCTAAGTCTATTATCTCTCTTCCTCATATCATATCAACTTTTGTATAGGTATAATATTTTATTATATTACTGAAAAACAATGGAAATAATTCATATGAGAATAATGTTACTAGTTCTCGGCCTGTGAATGTTATTTTATATTATTATATTTTACAGAGGCACAGATTATAACGTATTCTTTTCGTAAATGAAAAATCGAGGTCAAAAGTCAGAGTAAGAGCTTCGTTATATGGGAAAACATTAAGGTAAATATTTTCTTATTTAAATTTCATTACTCTCGACACGACGGTATTGCGTTCCTTCCAGTGGCTCATTTTTGCAGGAAAGAAAAAGATAGAGAGAAAGAGATCAACTGAACACAAGACAAACGAAAGAAGAAAACAAATTTAGATTGATTTCCAGACGATCGCGTTTGAAAAGTCCGAGCCGATCGATTACGATGTAAATAATTCTCGAAACTAATCAACGATTTCTCCAGCACAGGATCGAACGAATGAACGAATGAACGAAAAGTTTTAACGGCGCGATGCGCTACCTTCCCCCACTCTCATGAATATTCCAAACCGGTCATTATATTACGTCAACGGGCCGTATAATTCATTTCGGTGCGGCTTCGAATAATTTTCGCGACGTTTTGCATTAATAAAATGGCCACTCGACTATCGTCAATTTATAGCTCATTTCGGTGGAGTGGTCCGAGCGTGTACGACTTGATTCTACTTTTTTTTCTCGCCTCACCCTCTTCTTTGGCGTCAGGTCATGCGTGTGCGCGTAGAAGGATGCAATATATGCGAATTGTCGCACTTCTGTGTTAACGTGATATCAGGAAAATCATTTATTGTAGTCGAGTTTTTTTAAATGATTAGAAAACAGTAAAATGATCCCAGTTGATATTAAGCTTAAAGTATACACATTTAATATAGTCAAAAATACTTTGTACATAAAAGAAATTGAAATCGTATAATGCAGTTTACACTGTTTCTCTAAAAAAAAAAAAAATATTTAAAAAACATAACACATCTCTTCAAATTGAGTTATTAGAGGTATGCTAATTTGGCAAAATTATGCAATCAGTTTATTGAGTTAAACGGTGCTTTTTTTATTTAAAGAATAACATAGAAACGATATGAATTATTAAATATATCTACGGAAATAGTTGTAACAAAGTTTATGTTATATTATGTATGTTAGAATTAAACGTAACCGAGAGATTTTTGTTTAACCCTTTTAAATACTTTTAAATATCACTCCAAACGAAGTTTATTTATCACATTTATAGCAAATTGTGTAAAAGAGAACTATTCTGATAATATTATAAATTATTGATAACCTTAATAAATATTATAACAAAATAAGTATTATCAAGTCTCGTTACATTTCTTAATAATGTTAAGATAAAATTTGTACGGGGGAAAATGATTGATATTAATCATGAGATTTTAATCACTCATAACTTTAATATTTAATAAATCTATTTTATGTAGAAATACATTTTATATAGAAATCCATGCTATTATTAATCGAACATATTTATTTTCTGTTGATTCAAATTTTTGCTCCGATTTTGTAACAACGAAGTCATGAGCAATAAATATATAACGATTGCAAGAGATAAATTGATCCTTTGGAAAAGCATTTGTTTATATTTGATTATAAAATAAACTTTTTCTTGCTAATTTCATCTCGTTTGTGAGTACGTAGGTACATTTAATTAGTGGAAGTATCGCAAGGGACAAATAGAAAGAGAAAGAGAGAGAGAGAGAGAGAGAGAGAAAGGGAGAGAGAGAGAAAGAGGGAGGGAAACGATCGATCAGGTTAACCATGCAATAAACCGCCATAAATCGTATTCGACGTGATACAAGAGTAAAGGGTTTAAATTAATATTCATACGCTTTTGAAAGCTTCACCGCCGATTCGTTTATGCGAATTCCACCTACACGTGAGTGCGTGTTCGTTGCTACGACGACAAACGGGGTTGCGAAGAGGGGACGTTGGTGTTAACATACTTAATAGTCCGTTTATATCCACGTGCGATTTCTCTCAGCCTTAATGGATGTTAAATCATTGTTTAGGATCGCTTTACCTCTAAAATCATGAGCGTAAGCACGGAAATCGAGAAACTATTCTCTCGTGGTGTTCCTCTTCTCTCTCTCTCTCTCTCTTTTACTCGGGTCGGTCCATATTGGCCGACATTAATCGCCGTTAATATAAAATACGTTGAAATATAGAGGAGAAGCATAAGTTGGTATTTAATGCTTTATTCTCGACTATAGCGATAATAGTAGTAGTATGTGTCGGTATTGGTAACGATGAGTGATAGTAGTAATGCAGTTGCCACGAATTTAATATTACATGATTACTCTCTTATCAACCCATTATTATTATTATTATTATTATTATTATTATTATTATTATTATTATTTATTTATTTATTAATTTATTTATTTATTTATTTATTTATTTATTTATTTATTTTATACATTTTTCATTTTTCGTTCTTAATATTTCTTATTCTATAACATTCTTCGTTGTTCGTTTTTTTCTTTTTATTTTCAAGAAACGTTTCGAATCGATTTTTTGTAAGTATTTGTTATTCCATTCTCGTTGAAAAGATGTAAAAATTCTTTTTACACGATCGAGAGGTTTTGTAATCTATGCTACGTCAAGAACGATGATCAAACATTGGTCGACACCAAGTGTCAATCTGTTATCGTAAATCCTTTCGGTAAATATTGGAAACGCGTATTCACCTACGTTTCGCCATTCCTTTCTCTTCTTTCTTTTTTTTTCTTTCTGTTCCTTTTTTCTTTTTTTTTTTTTTTTTTTTTTTACTTTTTTTATCCTTCCCGAATTTATTCAAATTGAAATCGTACAGAAACGGTGCACTAATTAATTTATCGACAAATATATTTTTTCCATGTATTTTCAAATAAAATTATTTACTTCTGCTTACCCTTGTCTGCAATAGTTCGTTAAAATTAATTCGACTATCTTCGATTTAAATGTTCAAAAGTAATTAACTTTTACCTTCTCTCAAACTTTTCTGTTATTAATGGAAAATTTTTTTATATCGAAAAATATAAAAAAATTTCTCTCTCTCTCTCTGTCTTTCTCTCTATTTATCTCTCTCTCTCTCTCTCTCTCTCTCTCTCTCTCTCTGTCTTTCTCTCTATTTATATCTCTCTCTCTCTTTCTCTCTTTCTCTCTATCTCTTTTTCGTTGAGAGATCATCCCCGCATAGTAGAAATACGTGCGAAACGAGTGAAGCATTGCGGTTTGGTGATTTTGTACAGTCGAAACATCGAACAGTCTTTATATCAACTGAATGTTATGTTTTTCTTTTCACGTTACAGCCTCCATTGTATAGAATTATTTGGCGTGAAAATGACAGCAGTATTACCCGTCTGTCCGTGTACCGTTAGGCCAAAAGAAAGAGAGAGATAGAATGAGAGAGAGAGAGAGAGAGAGAGAGAAAGAGAGAGAGAAGAGAGTAGTTAGCATGGTTGCTCGAACGGAATCGAACGGAAGTACAAAGCGAATCGTATCTTTGAGCCTTCGTTTTGTTTCGACCGAACTGCATCGGAGATGCCGCGTCGAGTTCTCCTACGTCGTTTCCTGCTGCTTTTCGTGTTGTTTCATCGTCTCATTGGTGGGATCTCTCAGTGTCCTTCGAACGACACGTGTACGAGGGGTAAAAGAGCAACGGATGATGAGAATGCGAGGTATCTGATATTTCCACAGGGAAGTAACGTTCAGGTGAGATGCCAACCAGATTGAATTTATTGCCTCGAACGTGGCTCGTTGTTGCGCCGATAACTCGTAACGTTACGAACTAAA